TTGCAGCTTCCATGTAACTAGAGGAGTTCTTCTTAGGTCTTCGGCTTTTAACAGCAGCTTTCTGGGAAATTATGCAGCTAACCTGCGATTGAACAAAACGGAGAACACAAGGGGCAACTTCCAGTAAAGTGAGGCTAACCAATAGTGGGGTTAGAGAGGGAAACAGGGAATTTAATAGAGGATTATTCCTGAAGGACCACATGTCATTGAAGTGTGAGGATAGCTGTGGAGAGCTGATTTATGTCTTCTTCATGTTGCTCCGCTAGCCACTTTGACTGGGTGATTGAGTGGGGAATGCCTGCAGTTTTGGTAGCTATGCCTGCCCAATACCTAGCACTGACACTAGGGGTAGGACTGCTACTTAGATTGCCCTCTTTTTCTGAAGCCATGCTGAGCATTAGTTAGGAGGGGATGATGGTTCAAACCCTCCAGCAGAGCTATGGACAGGTTAATCCTTGAGATGTGGAACCAGCTCAAGAGACCCTCTAACTAAACTGCTGTAAGGGTGGCTAAAATTATTTTATTTGGACCAATCCACTTGGGTTTCAAGGGTTCTTTTGGGAGTTTCGGAGGTGCAGTTAGGACTACATCTCCTGATTGGTAGGAGCAAGGTAATGTGGGAAAAGATGGGGGTAAAAGTGAGTTAGCATGTTGTCATAATAAAGTTCTTAAGTAATTTAAACAGCTTACTAAAAGCGATGGTGGAAGGGGAACGCTTCAGGTTTTAGTCCCAGAGGTAGGAAAGGGCATCCATACATTAGTTCAAAAGGAGAAATTTGGAGAGGTGCTTTAGGCAAAGATCTGAGGCGTAACAAGGGAGAAGCAAGACCCATTCAGCATGAAGTTCTAGGTTTAACTTAGTAAGGACAGCTTTGATTGACCTGTTGGTTCACTTCACCTTCCCTGATGATTGAGGGTGGAAGGGGATGTAGAGGTGCCAGGAAATTCTCAATAATTTAGCAAGTCCTTGAGTTATGTGAGAAGTAAATTTGGGGCCATTGTCTGACTGGAGGGAAGTAGGGACCCCAAAGTGGGGAATAATTTCCTTGAAAAGGAAATCAGAGACTGTGGAGGCTTGCTTGTTTGTGGTAGGAAAAGCTTCAACCCACCCAGAAAAGGTGTCAACTAGAACTAAAAGATATTTGGGCATGTGGGTGAAGTCTATTTGCCAATGCAGGCCAGGGAGCAGACCCCTGGCTTGGTGTGTAGGGAAAGGGGTGGGTTTAGAAGATGGATTTGTTTTTTGGCAGATTTTGCAGGTGGAGGAAAGATGTTGTAAAAATTGCTCGTCAGATAGGGAGAGAGTGACTAATGGTTCTACAAGGGTAAATAATGTTCTAGACTTGGGGTGGAAAATTTGTGAAGGTACATACGTTGATCCCAAGTCAGGCTCGGCTTCTGAGTTTCCACTCCTTGATTTACTGAGGTGCTAGGGAGTACAGTCAGCTTAAGGATGCTTTCTTTGTTATGCAATCAGCCAAATTATTTCCCTTGGTTTAGGTGACTGGTCTGACTGGTGAGCTTTACAGTGGACAATGCCAATGGTTGCAGGCAGCCTGGAAGCCTTTAGTAGTTCCATAATGAATCTAGAATTCTGGATGGAATTACCTTTGGTGGAACAAAAACCTCTTTCTCTCCAAATGGCTGCATGTGAAAGCAGAATATGGAAGGCATATTTGGAATCTGTATGAACTGTGAGTCTTTTTTCTGGAGCTAAGGTAAAGACCCATGTGAGGGCAATCAGCTCTGCTTGTTGATTAGCTGTTTGAGGAGGGAGGGAGTTCTGGTCAATAACTTCGCTTTCAGATACAATGGCATAGCCTGCCCGCTTGATTTTATCTTGGGAGAAAGAACTACCATCAATATACCAAACTAGGTCAGGGGAGGGAAGAGGTATTTCCTGGATATGTGAGTCATGTGGCAAGAAAACTTCTAAAGCTTCTAAGCAATTTTGAATTGGTTCCTGGTCTGGCACAGGGAGTAGGGTGGAAGGATTAAGGACCGGGCACAACTGGAAGGTTAATGAGAGATTATGGAGGAATGAGGTTTGAAGCAAAAGAATCCTGCAAGGGGGTAAATCCTGTAGGTTTTTATAGTTTAACAAATCAGCAATAGCATGATGGGATAAGACAATAGTTGGGGCTCTAAAAGTTAATTTTTTTTTGATTCTTGGATTAAAAAGAGAGGTTGCAGCTAAGCTCCGCAAGAAAGATGCTCATCCTTGGATGATAGGATCCAGTTTTTTTTTGTTTTTGTTTTTTTGTTTTTTAAATAAATAAGCTACTGGAGCAAACGTAGGGCCTAATTTGTGGCCTAAAACTCCTAATGCAAACCCTTTATTTTCAGACACATAAAGATAAAAGGGACGGGTGAGATCAGGTAAATGCAGGGCTGGCGCTTCTAGCATTTGGGACTTGAGCTGTAAAAAAGGGTCTAAGGGTTCATGGGGATTGCCTTTTGAGGCGTCATAAAGGGGTGCTGCTAAAAGGGAATAATTTGGGATCCAGGCCCGGAGATATCCTCCTAGGCCTAAAAAGGAGAGGAGCTCTTGTTTATTAACAGGCATTGGGATGTCTCGAAGCATTTGTTTTATGTTAACGGCAATGGATTTGAAACCTGGAGACAAAGACACCCCTAAATATGTGACTTACTGTTTAAAAAGTTGGACTTTTGTGGGTGAAACTCGATAGCTTCTTTCTGCAATATAATTAAGAAGGGCATATGTATCTTGCTGGACTTCTGCTAGTGATGGGTTGCAAAGTAGGAGGAGATCATCTACATACTAAATACTGTGGGAGGTCTGTAAGTGAAGAAGGGACAGGTCTTGGGCTAGGATTTGTCCGAAGAGATGAGAACTATTCTGTGGAATGACTGTCCAGGTTATTGGGTTGACACCTTTGATGTGGGATCAGTCCAAGTGAAAGCAAAAATATTTTGGGAATCTGGGTGCAAGGGAATAGAAAAAAAAGCATCTTTTAAATCAAGGACTGAGAAATGTGTGGTGCTAGAGGGAATGGAAGACAGAAGAGTGTAAGGATTGGGGATTACTGGATGGACTGGGACTACAGCTGTGTTAATAAGCTGAAGGTCTTGAACTAGGCGGTAGGCCCCATTGGGTTTTTTGACTGCCAGGATGTGGGTATTGTAGGAGGAATTAGTTGGTTTTAGAAATCCTTTTTAAAGTAATTCTTTAACAAAATACTAGACTGTGGGAGTGGGTATTGTGCTTGGGCTGGAAAATGGGTGAGGTTTTTGAGGAGGATTTTGACTGGAGGGCATTTGGCTATTGAAGGGGAATGGATGTCCCAAACTTTAGGATTCACAAGGTTGGGACTGATGGGCCACTGGGAAGGAGGGGCTTGAGATTCAATAGCCGGTGAGAGTAAGAAGAAAAAGGAAGATGTCGGAGTGCTGGAGAGGCCCTGAAAGTCAAACTTGAGGGAGATGCCAAGCTGAGATAAAATGTCTCATCCTAATAAAGGTATGGGGCAAGAGGGAAGGACTAAAAAAGAATGTAAAAATTTAAAATTGCCAATTTTGTGCAAAAGGAGGAAAGTTTGCCAAGAGCGTCATTTTTTACCTTCTACCCCAACAGTAGAGGTCCTGCACAGGGAGGTGGGTCCCCAGAATCCCTGCAATGCAAAAAACTTAGCACTAGTATTGAGTAAAAAGGTGATCATCCTACCTGCCACAGTAAAAGTTACCCTGCGCTCCTGGGCAGTAATCCGCGTTGGGCCAGACAATTGGGCTAGACCAATGAGGTCGCTTGAGGGGATGGGGGGCGGGGGGGGCGACCTGATGGCGGGTAGATGCCAGGGGGAGGTTGAAACCCCAATGTCCCTTCTGCTTGCATTTGAGGCAGGGCCTAGTGGGAAGTTTGGGATTTGGGCATTCTTTGGCCCAATGTCCACCATGGTTGCACCGGAAGCAGGGTCCCGGAGGCTTCGTGGGTTTCCCGCTTACACGTGGTGGCAAGGTGAGGTTGGTGGCCTGAGCCCTTGCATCATCTCAGTCATTGTAGACTTTAAATGCAACAGCAAGAGCTCTGCTTGAGGGATTAGGGGACCCCTTTCTAGCCTCTTAAGTTTTATTTTGATGTTGGGGAAGCTCTGACAGAAAAAAATGCATCATAATTAACCTTTGGCCATCAGCAGAGTCTGGATCTAGATTAGTATATTGCCACAGTGAGCCTCTGGAGAAACGTGGAAGGATTTTTGTTCTTGTCTTGGATAATTTCACTAAGTTTGTCATAATTGCTTTTATGGCTGCTTTGCGCAGCCCATGAAGTATACAATTAATATACCTATTACTGTTGACAATACCTGTCTGGGTGTTATAGTTCCACCGGGGGCCCCTGCCAGGGATGGTTTCCACTCCTGCTGGGTGATTGTTATCTGTGAGGTATTCCTGGTCTGCATGAGCACGGGCCTGTTCCAGCACTCACCAACCCTCCTCAGTGGTTAAAGTGTTAGTTAAAACAACAAAAATATTGTGATAAGTTAGTTGCATTAGAAACTGAAACTGCTTAATAAAAGTTGCAGAATTTGAGGTAAAAGACCCAAGTCTGGGTTGAATTAAAGCTAACTCTGCCACTGGAAAAGGGGTATGGACTCAGACAATTCCTTCAGCCCCAGCCAGTTCCCTCAAGGGTGCTATTATGTGACTGGACTGAGAAACTTCAGGGTCCATTAACTTTCTTGTTTTTTGGAATTCATATTGCACTTTATTGATTACATTTTTCAACTTGCACAATTAGTACTACATATCTTTCATATTCGAATATTTCTAATATGATACCTAATTTTCTGCAAGTTACCACAATATGTAATACCTAAAGAATACAGAAGTCTTTTTTCTTCCACTTAATGATGCAACACACAAACGTTGGCAATATATATCCACGTACAACTTACTCCTCTTCCATTTACTATAAAAAAATTGGTGAATCCATAACTGTTGTAATCATTATATGGAGCGTACTATAATAATATTTCAATAGTTTATGCCAATCCATTTCTTCTTTTATATTCTGAAACATCTTCATTATGTTGTTTGGTGAGATAAGCCCACAGGAAGACTGTGCTGCCCAAGGTCAGTCCAACTTTCAGCCAATCAGGTTTGCTGTTTGGCGGCTCCTGAACATAGAACTTTGACCTCGCTGAAGGGCCACTAGGGAGCCGGACCTGGATCAGCAGCCGAGAGAAGGGGCGCAGAAATGCAGACGGCGCCATGTTGCCAGCCGGACTCCACCTTCCCTTTCCATTAACTTTTGAAACTTGGAACAAGTACAAGGTAGGGTAGGCACGTATGGAGGGGAAGAGGTGGGAGAAGAAGAAGAAGAGGATGGTAAGGGGAGTTCCTGGGGACTTGGAGAAGGTGAGAGAGGGAACAAAGCAGGAGGTGGAGGTGCATTTGGGGCTTTTTGATAAAGAGGGGGTTATCAGCTGGGTCAGTTAGGCTGATGGAGTCAAGAGGAGGAGGCACGGACGCGGAGACTGCCTGAGCTACATGCAGTTTTAGGGGAGGGGGCTGTTTAAAAGCAATGGAACAAAGAGAAGGTTGGCTTCGAAGGTAGGAAAAGACCTGGATATACGAGATCTCTGACCATGTGCCCTGGCACTCACTAAAGTTACATAGGTCTTGGATTATACCTGGTTCGAACGAGCCATTAGGCGGCCAAGTATTTGGGTTGTCTAGTTTGTATTGAGGCCAAATATGAGTGGATAGGCATATAAGATGCTTAGGTTCAAGGTCTAAGCCCTCAAAGTTTCAGAGCAAACACCCTAAGGGGAAGTCTTCCGGTATGGAGGACCTGGAACCCATAGCAACCAGGAGTAAGACAGTGAAAAGTGCCTGGAACCCAAGACGTCTCTTGAGGTTCAGACAGTGCTCCCACCTAAGACCTGGTCTTAGGTGTGGGGACCCAAAGTCCCAGTGGAGGCGTCCCTGCCACAAGGAGGGGGTCTGTAAATGGAGAAGTCACACCACACTCTGAAGCATCCCTTCAGCGGGCGGGGGCAGAACGGACAAGTCCCGGACTTGTTCCGGTGAATTCCGAACTCACAATGGGAGACACAGAACCTAGCGCCCAGTCTGTGTTCTGGATGGAATCTTATGGCCTGGTTACTGGGGTCCAAATCTCCACACCCAGGACAGCCACAAGAGGGGACTTACCTGAGCCAGGGGCTGAAGAATTAACTCCCACCAGTGATGGGTGCTGAGAAGGTGTCAGGGAAGATGATCGTGGGCACTGGGAGGGCAGATTGAAATGAGTGGGTTAGGGCACCGGGAGAATTGGGAAGCCTCACTGATTCCACTTCTGACACCAATAAAAAAACAACCCGGCATCGCTCATCAACCACACCGCACACCAGACAGCCCCTCTAGAGATTTTTTATTTGGGGTGAAGATGAGCGAAGGCAGAGGAAGAGGAAGTCAAGTCAACAGGAAGAGAGTGGTCTTATATAGGTTCAAATCAGGAGAACACAAGTCATTGCTGTGTTGACTTAGCTCTGGCCTATTAAAAGCCATGTTGCCTATTAAATTACACCCCTTGCAGCTTAGTTTGGCAGGGAAACAGACAAAATGGAGCCAAAGGGAAGGGAGAGGGAAGAACCCGGAAGGTATTGTAACACTTCAAATTCATCCTCACTGGCTTTAGTGGTTGGTGTATAAATTTGAATATTATTGGTATTAACTAGTCTTTCCTGTAGACCCATGGATATTATCCTATCACAGACAGCATTGTATCTCATGACAGATCTTGATGTTTTCTTTCTGACAATGAATGCGGCACCATTTCTCTTCAATTTTTCATACCTGGCAAATTTATCATACCATATGATAGTCAGATTTGAAATGGCCAATAGCATTCCATTTCAGCTCACTAATGCCTAGAATATCAATGTTTATATGTTCCATTTCATTTTTTACAATTTTCAATTTTCCTAGACTCATACTTTGTACTTTCCATGTTCCAATTATTAAGGGATATTTGCAGCTGTTTCTCTTAATTTCATTGGCAAAGAACAAGGCACCAGGAATTGATGGAATACAAATTTAAGTATTTCAACAAAATGATGCAACACTGGAGGCACTCACTCATCTGTGTCAGGAAATTTGAAAGACAAGTACCTGGCCAACTGATTGGAAGAGACCCGTATTTGTGCCCATTATAAGAGAGGTGACCCAATGGAATGTGGAAATCATTGGGCAATATCATTGATAGCACATTCGAGTAAAGTTTTGCTAAAGGTAATAAAGAAATAGCTGCAATCATACATTGACAGAGAACTTCCAGAGGTTCAAGCCAGATTCAGAAGAAGACGTGGAATGAGGTATATCATTGCTGACATTAGATGTATCTTGACTGAAAGCAAAGGATACCAGAAAGTTTACCTGTGCTTTATTGACTATGCAAAGGCTTGCAATTGTGTGGATCATTACAAGCTGTGGACAACATTGCAAAATATGAGTATTACAGAACACAATAGTGCTCATGAGGAATCTGTACATAGACCAAGAGGTGTTCGAACAGAAAAAAGGAACACCGAATGGTTTTCTTTTAGGAAAGGTGTGTAACAGTGTTATATTCTTTCATCATATTTATTCAACCTGTATGCTGAGCAAATAATCTGAGAAGTTGGGTGATATGAAGAAAAATGTGGCATCAGTATTGGAGGAAGACTCATTAACAACCTACAATGTGCAGATGATACAACCTTGCTTGCTGAAAGTGCTGAAAGCTCCATACACTTTAGTTCAACTTTGAAAGCATGGAGAGCAGAAACTCCCCTGGGAGTGTATGCTTATGGGTGCTGGGCACATCTCTACTCACTAGGGTAACATGGACACACACAAAAAAAGAGAAATATATGCACTCTTTTCTGTCCACCAGTAAGCAGTATGCCTCTGGCACACCATGACTGGCTTGGTCACAGGTACAGACCAGCAGTTTATTTTATGTGTCTTTTTTTAGTTATTGTTTGTTTTGTTCTCTCTCCCACATATGTGTGTTTAGTTTCTTCTCCTAGTGAGGGCTAGCACAGGTAAAGCCAGGGCCAGCTCTGCAGATGTGGAGCTGGGCCTTCCCAAATGGTGTCAATGTGGACAGTTTCCCCTTCCTTTAATGGGGTTCACAATCATGGTGCTCACCTTCATGCACTTCTGACCACTTGGAGAATGGGAGGTTCACTGGAGGTATATGCAGGTGGGGGGTCACACTTGCTTCTGGTCACTTGGGGAGTGTGAAGAAGAACAACAACAACAACAAATGTTCCTTTGCCTCTGTGAACCACAGGTATGTTTCTGCAATGCCAAATCTTTTCTCATTTTTTGAAGCTGCTCACCAAAGCTCAAGATGAATGTGCCCATTTGGTTGTCAACTCATATAACCAATCTCTCCTTATTTTGCCATGTTTGCTCAGCTCTCTCTCCTAATAAGCATTCAGTCCACCTCTCTATTTCTTCATCTAAAGCTCAGAATTCCAGTTCTACCATCTGCACCTGTTTCATTTGGTTATCCGTATCTTTGTTGTAGAGGTCTGTACTGCCTTCTGCTTAGTCTGCCATTGTTCTGTCTCTCCCTCTATAAGGATTTATGAGGAGTGATTGATGGGTTTGAATCACTAATCTTGTAGTTATACTACAGCGCCACACTAGCACACCTATATATGACACAGCAATCTTTCTACTGGATATATATCCTACAGAAGTAAGTGTCATGACATGAATAAATATATATACACCTGTGTTCACTGCAGCACTATTCACAATAGTAAAAAGATAGAAACAACCCAAATGCTCATCAACAGAACAATGGATAAAAAACTGTGTTGTATCTGCACAGTGGAATTCTATGCAACATTAAAGAACAACCATGAATAAATATGATTCTGTGAAACACCTTATAGCATGAATGAACCTACAGGATATTGTGGTGAGACAAACTAATCAAAAAAGGATAAATATTGCATGAGATCACTGTTGTAAAAAGTCAATACAAGATTTACACACAGAATTAAATATACTTTGATGATTGCCACGGGTTATTGTTGTTGTTGTTGTTGTTGTCAGGTGCCATCGAGTTGGAACCAACTCATAGCGACCCAATGCACCGCAGAACAAAACAATGTCCGATCCTGAGCCAACCTCACTATCGCTGCCACACTTGAGTCCATCAATGATGCCACCTGGTCAATCCATCTTGTTAGGAGTCTTCCCCTTTTTCTCTGACCCTCAACCTTACCCAGCATGACATCCTTCTCCAGCGACTGTTCCCTCCAGACAATATGTCCAAATTATGAGAGACAAAGTTTAGCCATCTTGGCTTCCAAAGAGGACTCTGGCTGCACTTCTTCCAAAACAGATCTATTGGTTCTTTTGGCAGTCCATGGCACTTTCAGTATTCTCCTCCAACACCACAACTCAAA